AAATGTTGTTCAAGTAGGGTGACTATGGAATACTCTATATTTCAACAGATTATATTGGCAATATTTTTAAATGAGTGTCAGTGGTAACGGGATGGAAGTCCACGCGCTCCCCAAGCACGAATCGCGTACTACTACTACGGGTTCGGAGATTGATTTTAATAGCTCTTCGTAATAAGGGGGGTGGAGGTAACCCTAGCGAGTGTCATTGTTTTCTCAGTGTTCCTTCTACTGCTGAGACACCGTTACTGTCCGGCAAAGAGGTGGCCGTCTCAACCACATCAGACAAAAGCTGTTTGAGTGTTAGTATTGCCAATCTCACTAAGAATATCATCGGTGCTGGTAATGCGCTCTGATTGGTCTTCGTCCATTGTATTCACTCCACCTTCACTTCAGGGCTCTTAGCACTACCAAGAAGTTTCGCTCTGACTGGCAACGTCTTCGGCACAGTTCTAATTCTCCTTTTTGGAATCTGGAGTGCCTTGACATTCAGTCTGGTCGGATATATGGGAGATTACACTCGTAGTGAAATAAATCGTCGCCAGTTCTCATAGAAACATTGGTTTAGGCACAAGTGATTTTGCTCAACTGTGGACCATATGTTTCGGAAAGAAATCAGCTTGGGTGGTGGATCTGATCATGTTCCTCTGCACGGGCTGTCTATGTCTGGGCTTCTCGATCATTGTAAAGACGTTTTAACTCTACCACTCCTTGTGTTCATCGTTCCCCTCAGATATGCGACTATCTCAGTGAGTTCAACCTCCGTATTGGTTTGCCATGGTGGGCCTGCACTCGTCTTTTCGTCGGGATTATCTCCCTCGTACCCATTTTGCCATTAGCCTATTCAAAGTACTTCTCGGACGACTGGATCGCTCTTCTTTCAAGTCTTCTTGTTGCTCAGGTCTCTACACTCGTTGGGATGGGTGTCTATCGTCGGCCTATTGGCTACGGCATACACTTTCGTCTACGTTGTGGCGGATACTGTTGAGTTTACTGAGGAAGGCGGTAATGCCGATCTTGGTCAACCTCGATCCGAGATAAGTCTGATGACTGTTCTAGAAGTAAGAAGCTCTCCCTAGCTCTTATCGCATCGGTCGCATGCTTTCCTGTAGGCCGTCAGTCTGTTTGCTACAGCGTATGTTTGCCACTACAACGCCCCTAAATTTAACACTGAGTTGAAGAACTCTACCCCTAAACGATTCAATCAGGTTAGTTGAGGGTCTTGTCCTTATCTTCATGGTCCTCCACTAGGTCTCCCTGGTCAGCTTCGTGGTCTCTGGCCTCGTGTATGCTGTCTTCGCCTGGGCTGGCCATGTACGATTCGGGGATAGTGTTAATGGTGATGTTCTTACAGATTACCAAGGTAGGGAAGTGCAATGTTGCGTATATGTGATACCGGATCGTTGCTACATCAGGTTCTACTGCTGGTGTTGGGTGTATGCTGATGTGGTTGTTTATGGCTCTCTGCCTCATATGCGGCTACCCGGTAACCTATCTTTCCTCTCAAGAGTCTCTTCGTAGACTTGGTGTCCATATCCCTACATGGATCTATGTTTGCCTTCTCGTGCTTGGCGGTATATTAATTCGTAATCTATCATTTTTCCTAGCTCTAGAAGGCTCCCTATTGGGTGTCACTGTGGGCTTCACACTTCCTGGGATGATGTTTGTAATCTTATCTTACAAGACTACCTGGGCCAAGGGTAAGCGTTCTATCCTCCTTTTTAGCTGGTCTAGCATTGTTATTGGTATCTTCTGTACAGTAGTGGGTGTTGTCTCCACATGCATCACTGGTTAAAAGCTCTCTCTATGTGGTTTTTTTCTTCCAGCTCTGGCGGACTGCCAAGCCGTATTTGCTGTCCTTCTCACCTCTCTGAACGATCTATGGGAGTCGCTGTATTCTCATGCTTCCGTACCTTGTGCTATTCAACCGACTTTTTTCCAGCATTCACCACCCTTTGGTCATCACTAGCTCTCAACTGCCTGGCATCGCTTTTCTAGGTAGGGCGATGGGCGTTGGGTTCACATAGTTTATGGACTTGGTCAGTTTTTCATATCTGTTACCAATACCTTATCGAATGGCTGGTGACAAGAGCGAACACTTAACAGACCAACAGGCGGCTCCATTGCCCATTCCTGGTATGTCGGAATCAACTGTTGCTCCAGCAGACCTTGAGATTGATGCAGAGTCCCACCCACATCAGAATCTACAGCCGCGGAGTGACATACGGAAGCACAGTATAGAGTAAGGGGGAGAGTTGTGTGTAACAAGGAGATGCGGAGTGTTCCAATTCAGGACGGCCCCTAGTTTCAGCGAGCCCCTGCTGAACGCCTCAGCCAATGAGGGCAATAGCCAGCCGAAGACCGCAGTGGGTACAAGCTCTATGGCTGTGTCTATCATCAACTGCATCAAGAATATCATTGGTGCCGGTAATAAGAGAAGTGCCTCTGCTGGGAATCGAACCAGGGACCTCATATTGTAGGTATCCTATCACTCCCTCGAAGTTTCGTCCTGTCGGGTGATGTTCTGGGCACCGCATTGATCCTGATATTTGCTCTGTGGAATGCTGGAAGTTTTGCCTTGATCGGGTTCATGAACCAGCGGACGGGTACTGCTTATTCGCTTCCGCGACAGCATCATAGGTATCCGTCTGATTTCTCCCTTGAGACAGGTACGAATGATTTCAAGAGCTTATGGAATGCCGGCTTCGGTCGGCACACGGCTTGGGTCGTCGACCTCTTTATGTTCCTCTACACGGCATCCTCATGTTTGGGCTTCAACATTGTCGTAAGCTATTGCTCAGCCCTAGTCTGTGCTGTCGGTATCTCTCCATGGTTATCAGATTGACGACTTCCTCGTAAGCTTCTTCCAAGGAATAGGTCTCCCTGGTTGGATCTGTAACCGATGGGCCGCAGCTACGATATCCCTCCTTGGTCTCATGCCTCTAGCCTATAAAAAGTAGGTAGTTTTGCATCGCTCCGCCCGACCATCCTCTACTTTTCAGATCGTTAGACTCACTGCGATATGTATCGTTTTTCGGCATCGCGGCTTCGTTCTACTGTGTGATCTACGTCCTAGTCAACGCCATTCTATTCGCTACGGGAGACGTCGTTGACAACAGTGTAGATAATACCGTGCATGCTCCAGTTACTCTCTTCGGAGCAGTACAGGTAGTATGCTCAGTCCTGGCCTGTACGTCGTCCTCACGCTCCTTTAACAGGCTATGAGTATGTTCGCTCCTGCTTATGTCTGTCATTACAACGCCCCACGCTTCAATAAGGAGTTGAAGCATACCACACCAGGGAGATTCTCTGGGGTAATAATTTTGGAAATGTGATCACGCTTCCAGTGTGTACCAACAGAGTGCAATGATCCAGGATTGCTATCAAGCCAGCTTCGGAGTTTCTACTAGTTCTCATTGATCAGGTATCGTACTTTAGTTTCATCTTCTCGGGCATTGTATATGCTGCGTTTGCCCTAGCTGGTCATTATAGGTTTGGTGACGGAGTGAACGGTGATGTCCTCACCAACTACCAAGGTTGGTGTATCTGTCTTGCTAGTGGTTTGAGCTACTCTTCTTAGGTCGTTACGCTGATATATGGTGCTTGCTTATGTGGCTGGCCATGGCTCTATGTCTCATTTTTGGATACCCGCTCACTTACATTTCTTCTAACGAGTCGTTAGAGCGTCTAGGCGTCTCCTGTCCTCCATGGCTGTACATCATCATTATGACTCTTGGCGGTGTCCTCATAAAAGATCTATCAGTCTTCCGTTCTTACCAAGGAGCCATTCTGGGCATCTCAGTTGGGTTGACTTTGCCGGGCCTCATGTATATCGGTCTGGTCTGGAAGCGTGTCGAATGGGCCAGCAAGAGAAGGACGTTGACATGCTTCAGCTGGGCTAGTATTGCTATGGGTCTCTTCTGTATGGTAGTCGGCTGTGTTGCCACAGCGCTCCAGCAAAGAGGAGGTCACTAGGCTACAGTATAATAACTGCTATTCTCTGTACTTATGTATTATCGAAACAACATATATACAAGTTTAGTCTGCTGAGCTGTTCCCAAGCCCCTTTGGTGGCCCGACTTCATCATTGATGTTCCCAAGTTGGGAATCCCAACGTCAATGTTCTCTGCGGGTATCATGTGTAATGCTTTACCACGACTCCTTTAACATCAAAGAGAGCATTAATATGGCTCTGATTCCTTTTTTGTTGAAGACGCTGTAGTTTACCCTTGGTTTCGGTGAATTCACGTTGTTGAGTTATTTAGTTTGAGGGTTATGGGGGAAACAGAGTACACCTTGCTCGTTTCGAGATGGACGTTTCCTATCATCGTTGTCTACTACAGTATACTGATCTATTTTCGCATACAAAGCCATGGGAGGTGTCTGGTTACGCAACGCCTCGGTAGCAAGCATAGCCCTGTACTTCTCATGGAGGGGCTGGAAGTACCTAAGCACGTGGCAGCTGGTCACGCTATTGTGGATCGGGACTGTCCACAGTACAACGGCTTTCCTCAATGTCACACAACTCTACCCTAGCTTTCCTGGCAAGAGGTGGGATACCATCCCGAGTGAACAGTGATACGGCCCTGGTGTCTTCCCTTTCAGTCGGACTACGGGCTCACTCAATGTTGGTCGTACCGTATTATTGTGGCCCTTCTTCCTCTTTCAATGGTGTTACGTCTCCATTGCTTTCCTTATTCACTTAACAATAGCAAGTGGTTGGAATCCTGCAGACTCCTCGGCGGAGGTAGGTCAGTGACAGTAGTTGCTGTTGCCAACTCTATCAGGTTGCTTCGGGTCTCTTTGTTGGAGACATCATGGCTTCGGCATTCGATAACTCATGGGATGCAGTGTTGGACATTACCAACGAATTGCCACGGCTCTCGTCGTCTCAGAACTACCACTGTATACCAACATGGGACGGGTGGGACCATCCTCTCAAGCGTCTCAACTTCATCGCTCTTGTCAGGACAGCACCAACAGTTCAGCAATTAGATGAAGCTTGTGACTACATCGGGTCTCTCGTCAAGAAGAAGAATGAGAATGCGCATATCCTCATTCACTGTGCTCATGGGAAAGGTCGCAGCGTTACAGTCACGACTGCAGTTCTTGTTGGTCTTGGCATTGAGCCCGATTGGCGCTCTGCTTACTCCAGAGTAATTCTCAGTCGATTTTTGTTCGTGTATCAACACCATCATCAGGTACGAGCTCATCGTAGACAGGCTCATCTCAATCGAGTGATGCAGCAGAGACTTGAAGATTGGGAAACTGCTCGCCGACGAAAAATGTGAAGTTTGTTCAGCTTCTGTTGTATATTAATAATAAAATCTGCTGCTGTACTTTTCATACCGATCATTGCCTTTGAGTTCATTGGGTTCTGTGTATGGGAGAGTACAAGAGAACGTCTTCAAAGGTCAGGTTTGATATTCAACGGATCGCGCTTAGTTGCTCAACAGTGGTGGGCGTTGGGATACGAAATTGGACGAGGAGCTCAGCGGAGATCAGCGTGGCACATCCCAGATTATTACATAATTCTCCGATGCTCGGAAACGGGGATCGCTTCGCTCCGCTAATTCAATGGCGCGCGACATTTTTCTGCGGTGCGCATTGTTGTACTTGCCGAAGGAGTTGAGCATGTCGGATTTGAAGAGAACAAATGGTTTGGAGGTACTGTGGCATTTACCTCGACCACCCACACGATCAGTATTGTCGTGCTTCAGGGCCTAGTTTCCCCAAGAGCTCCTAAGAGGCCGAGGTCGGGTACGGAAACATTGGACGATGCATCATCTGATGATGGGGGTCTCGATGGCCTTATGGGTAGTATTCAACTCGAGGCACTTCCAAGCAGACAATACGGTCCAGCAAATCGCAACTACTGCATACCCTTAAGCTGTTCTCTTGAGAGGTGTGCCCATTTGCAGGCCTAGCATTTGATGACGACCTCACAGCTGGCCTGGAGGCTGTTGTAGAGGAGTCACCGTGTGAGGAGGATTTTAGTAATTCAGTTGAAGACACAATAGTACCCCAAGTAGCAGTGGGTTCGCTTAACTGCTTGGTGGTGACTCTCGGAGCGGTTCAGGTTATGTGGGTGTCCCCACCGTTGCTCGATCGTTATACCCTCTGTGTCGTGCAAGATGGAGGAGCTGAGCTCACCGTGCCCATGACTTGGTACCGTCAACGCGACTCTGGAGATGCTTCAGTTTGTTCCAAAGAGTAGTACAAGATCAACTCTGGAGTAATTCTCATTACTACTTACAGAACTCCCGATTCACCACATGTAACGCCTAGTGTGCTGCCACAAACCGTTATGGAGGTCGTAGGCTGTCATGTACGTGAACGTTGCTGAGGTATTGACCTTTCAGGTTCCCATCAACACTCCGGGTAAATTCGATCCACGTTTCATACAAGTCTGTGACCACGATGGTCGTCGTAGCCAGTATCAACACTGGCTGCGACACGGATGTATATGGGAAAGTGGATTCATTTGCACGATGGACCAAGAGGTGCTGCTGGTCAAACATTTGCATTTATTCTTGCTAATTCGACTGAAATGGAGCAATGCTGAGGTCTCGGGGGAAGGTCGATATTATTCTTTGTTGCGGTAGCACTCTCGTCCATCATGTTTACAACCTAATTCGTCAAGAGCTGCTGGTGCTGCTACAAGTGTTGGAGGCTCGTATAGTCCAAATGGGATACGCGCTGGTACTACGTGATGAAGGTCGTTGGTTCGATCCCTGCTCACTGCCCATGTGAATCGATACACTATTTCCGAGGTTCTCGGCTTTGCTAATCCTTTTTGTCCATCAGGATCATCTCCGAGAAGTTCACTTGCGTCACCAGCCAACGTTAGTGGAGACTCTACGTTGGCTCGAGCCTTAGCCGCGGTCAACGCAGGAGGCTCTAGTGGGAGTCAGTCGAACCAAGCTATCACACAACATCTATTGTACTATAGGGGGATCGAACTCGTTGTTTTCTAATAATATGAGTCACCACACAGGCAGCAGTTAAGGGCTGTAACCTCAGCAGCAACAGCAGCGGCTAAGCGATCAACTCACCCGATGCCAGTAGCGAGCAGTGAGAAGGAGAAGTCGCATCAAATGAGGAGGGAGTGGGACAAGCAAGTGAATAAGCTGGGTAGTACTGTTTAGTTTCGTCGCCTTCGATTAGTGGTTCTTCGCAGGCAAACAGCTGATGATCGCTATGGGGTATAGGGGACTTGATAAAGACAATCGTCTTAGTGAATGGTGTGCTTGGCTCGGTGTTAAGCTAACCTACATAGGCTTATCGAATAACAGCTATTCCAAGCTGCCGGGAGTGGTAGTGTAACAACGTTGCTTGCAGCACTACGTGGGATGGCAGGTCCCAACTGGTGCAGTAGGGGACATTGATCTGTGTGGTAATGGTCTGGAAGACGACCACTTGCATGTCCTGGCATCCACATTGAAGCCTTTCCATAGGCTCAGGGTCAAGGTAGTGGTAGGGACAGCACGAGGGTCAGTGGTTGAAGAATACTTAGGTATTGAGATTGTCGCAGAATAACATAACCGATAGAGGTCTCGAGTTGTTGTTATCTTATCCGTATCTACAGGCGTTGCATCTGGATGGGAATAAGTTGACGGGCGGCCAGGTACTAGCCGTTAAGAAGGCCGGTGTTGACCATGGTATTTGTTTTAGAACTTGCTGCACTTTATCACCAATGCGGTAGCACAGCTGAGGGAGACTAGACGCTCTCAGAGTGACCTGGAGTGGCGATCGTTGCCGCCGTTATGGATCAATCTTGACGGAAATTACATACAGGATTCAACAGAGCTCATACGCCATCTGACGGGGAAGGCTTGCGGACTTGTCGTGTGTCACCCTGAACGCACAGGCTGTGAACCGTAACCTACCCCCTCCCCTATAAATTGTGAGCACCCCCTATGCTGTTGTTCAGATCCGCGATGTGCCGAGTCTACGGCGAGCATTGTGATGTCCATCTTGAATGCCTTGGCTCTCAGCATCCTATAGAGGATATCAAATATCATGAGAATGTCGCAAACCCTGTTAATGAAGAAATAGGGACTGTGATTGACATGACTCCAACTGAGGTCGCTGATGTTGTTGATTTGGAAGATGACGATTGAGCCCTACGATAATTGTTAGTAATATTATAATAACTTTTCAGCGTTTCACTATCATAGTACGAATAGCATTTTTGTAATATTTTCATCGACAAAGTAAATGTTTTTGTTATTGAGTCGACGCAATAAAAAATACTAACGCAACCGGGAGAAGAATTCCAAGGCAACTTTCGTGTTAAAATTTAATGCAGGGTACAATGGTGTTTCGCTACTTTTCATGCAGTACACAATGATGACAGAAATCCAAGTCGAATGATAAGGGCAGAATTGTATTGAACAACATGCATGAGTGAATGACAACTTGTAATGGCTTCAAAAAACTGGGTGGACCATGGTCATGCTCGTGCCTTAGCACACTCGGCTGGTGCCACTCCTGATACAGTCTCACCTGAGTTGAATAGATTGACGGCATTGGTCACGACAGTAGTCATTACCTTGTGGAACGGTCGCTGCATTGGCGTCCTCACAAACTTTACGAATAATCATCTCCCAATCCAGTTTCGAAGCAAGCTTAGAATACCCGGCCTCCCAGGCGAGCTCAGAAGCAACTCGGCCACGATTAGACAACATAACAGGCGAGCTGAGGTTCCAAGTAGAGTTGGAAAGAGAGCGCTGTCACTTACCGATTGGGTCCTTCTACTAGTGGATTCCACCATAGAGACTGACGTGCTAGTCGGGCAGCTTGGTGGTGCCTGGGAAAATAATGGGGGGGATATGTAGTAGGAGTACTACACAGCAGGTCCTCCTTGAGTCCTGGCCCACATGTGTGTACGAGGATTGCTCATGAGAGTCTCACAGACAGCTGAATGCCCTCGACAAGCAGCAGCATGCAGAGCCGTCATGGAGAATTTCCGCAGTGGAATGGGGTCAACCTTAGCAGGATGAAGACGATTAGTCTGAAGCAGATCTGAACATAACATTATGAGCTGCTGCAGCCTACCTCTATCGTGCAGACATCCCTATTGGGAGGTGATGACGACTTGACCATGGCAGAGGGGTCGGCCCCCCAGTCCAGTAGTGCTTCGACGGCTATGCGAGACCCACAAGCCGACGCTGCCACCAGATGCCAATCTAATAGTCGTTGTTCAGCACACGACCGATCTGAGTGCAGGTACGGGTCTAATGAGAAGACTGAGTTGACGGCTACATGGGCAGTGGGGAGCTCTAAACTCCCGCCACAGGGCGGCCATAAGGAGATCAGAATTGTTATAAGAGGCTGCATACCGTAGACCATGGTGACCACCTGATGTGAGGTCCAAAGAGATGATCGACCAAGGCGGATACCACCTGCACGCTGTATGAGGGTGTAGGCCTTCCCCCTCCGAGGACACAGATCGAGTGGTCTCATACCTTCGGGGTCCTCACCGTTGACATCACAACCAACGGACAGGAGGGCGTCAACCTGGGAAAACCAGAAATGTCGCGCGCCTCAATATTCATCTAATGAACCTACGCAGTCAGGGACCCCTGAGGAGGCCGCCATGTGGAGCAAAAACTGCAGACTGCTCGGCAGAGGGGAGGGTATGTACCGCAGCATTTGTCTAAGCATGCACCTAGAAATCGAGGGCCTGGCCCAAGTCGATGCAGACGGGTCCTCTACGGTTCCTTGCGATCAATCGCCCACGCGAGAGACTGAGCAGATGGTTCACTTCCGGCCTCCAGGAGAATCTCTACTATACTCCTAATAAACGCTATCATCATAAGCAGATGCGAGACTAGCCTCACCCTCGCCTTGTACAGATGGCTAGACTGAGAGGGTCCATGGCGCTGGTGGTCTGTTGGGGTACACCATCGGCCGAGACCTCGATCGGTATAGTGGTCACCGTTCCAAGGTCAATGCCCGACCGGCCTGCCAAAGGAGTTCACGACCATACAGCGTGGCTGAGCCTACTCAAAACTTCAACAGCCCGTTCATCGCCTTTGTAGACCGCGGTCATGAGGGCATCTGTGGTCATTCTAGTGACTCTGCACACGGAAGGGCCCTAGAAGGGGGGGATATGATATAGAGAAGAAAGCCTAAGACTGGCGGCCTACAGCTCGAACAACATGGCCAGCCAGACCAAGCAGCCTTTCGTCCATGAGAATGTCCAATATAGCGCGACCGTTGGCGTCTCCAGCGTCCCGTACCTTGCATGCAGCCCTAAGGGGCAACAGGCAGAAGAATTCTAACCTGTTGGGGTTCCAAAGCGACCCTGAGGATGAAGGCCCCCATAGCCAAGCGACTAGACCTGGCCATGAGGGCAAGCTCGACTACGGACGTACAGGCCCCAAGCCATTGGGGATACCCCTGGGCCCTAGAGGTCTCTGAGGAGAGGACATCATGGGCTGAACTTGCCCTGTAAAATGGGCGACCATAGAAAATTCACTATGATAGTAGTTATACTAATACGTCCCTCACGGAGGAAGAATCGATAGGCCAGTAGCCCTTACCTGTTATTAACCGAGACCATGCTCTGGTCATACGGCAACACTGTGCCAATCTGGCCCACTCCTCTACTCCGAGGTAAGTCCACACTAGACCACCAAAGGTAGTGGGGTCAAAGAAGTGCAGAACACAGGCGGAAGACCCATCCGTGTAAAGGGACAAAGGGTCATCACGAGGGGACATGAATTTGGAGTGATCAATCTACATCACCGAAATAGGCCAGTAGGCAGTGACCATCGACCCCCTCAGATTCGCCTTTAAAGTTATCATGCCTTCCCTGTAGTGGTACAGAAGGGGAGTCCATTACATTGTTTATGTCATCATAGGGCGAGCAGAGATTGGTCACAATAGAACACCCCGAAAGAATATAAGTAACTCAAGACTGAGGGGCCATAAGAAACTCCCTATAATGGCTTGCAATGTGATGAAGACCCGCGACCGGCTAGGATCTGCCTAAAACGCTTTGTATGATGTTTTGCCAAGTCCAGATATAGTGTGGATTTCAAACGGTGAGCAACGATGTGAATATCCATGCCGTGATAACTTCGAGTACCCGATCAGCCGAAACATAAGGCTTCGGAAAACTTGCCTTTTCCAGCATCAGCTCGAGCATTTTTGAGATTTTTAGGCTCGTAAGGGGACCGAGAGTCGACGCAGATACACAGACTTGAATGAAACCGCCTCTGACCCGAAAAGAGCTCCTCTAGATCAGCCTCGTCCTTGCCAGAGGAGCCGCTCGCCAGTCTGGACGGCTCATCGCTGAATGTGGATCGACACTGAGAAGGTCCACACGTGTCTGACGGCTACCGTCTCCTCCTCAAGTGTTTGTGTGCATGTAGGGGCCCTATTGGGCTACGCCAACGATGTAATAGCCTCTCGTAGACTGACCATCGACCACACCATAGAAGTTGCCAATGTTCGCCCACGACTACGGCATCGATGACATACCCATCGGTCAGTGAAAAAGGTGAAACGCCTAATCGATTAGTCGCCCTATATGAGCCGCTCTCTAAGTGCCTCCTCGCCGGTCAGCTCATGCCCAGCTGTAGACGATACCCCCTCACACTACCAGTGTCCTGGACTGTCCTCCAGAGCCCCAGATGGTCTACCATACAAAGCTGCCAACACCCCACCATTACTACTCCATACGGCCCTCCAACGGAGCGGTCGTTGGTCCCTCTGCCACATGTCCCGGAGTCTGCTGGCCTTCTCATCCTCCCATTCTGAGAGACATCCGCCTTTTACCACTGAGCGTTGGAAGGGGAGGTATCGGAGAACCAGGTTTCACCAACTCGCCAAGCTTGGTGATTTCGGGTCCTAATGAACTCTCGCCAACACGCTCAATCATGGGATACGACCGCTTCTGGACCATATTTCACCTCTTTGGCATCAACACCTAACGAATTTCACCGAGATGTGGCGGAAACTGGTTGAGGAAATCCGTAATTTCGTTCGCCCAAATGATCTATTCCGTTCTGTGCGCACGGTTACAGCAACTTGGTATTGGTGTAACATGCCAGTGGCTCAGATATTGCTATAAAACTTGGTGAACTTATCGGTATTCGCCAACTACGTGTCGTAAATCGCCGATATCTTGGTATAATCATTTGTTTATGAAGATTACACCATCTTTCGCGATATCCGCCTTTTATCGATCACGGTTGGTATATTCCCGAGTCGGAGTCGAATATCGCCAGGTGATTTGTTCAAATCTGGTTTTGTGACAGGCTTCGCCACAACTTCTTCATG